TCGACTTTTCCTAGCATTATTGTCTTTTCCAGAGAGTCTTCTCATGATATGTGCAAAGTATGACAGCCTTGGCTTAATAATTTCTACCTCTCTAGAGAACGTTCAGGGTCGGTTTTCTCTAGGAGTCCTTCCTTCTTCCTGGTAGTCCGTGGGATCTGTAGGTTTCCCTTTCGACACCACATTTCAAGTGAATCCATTTTCCCCTCCTATTGGTTTTCTTCACTGGGCAGTCATGCATCCTTTGGTTGCAAAACATGGGTGAACCCAGGTGTTCTTGGACTGCAACTCCCAGACACCCTGGGCAGCACAGCTGGTGATAAAGGCTTTTGGGAGTTGTAGTTCAAGAACACCTGGGTTACCCAAGTTTGGGAACCACGGCTTTACAGGAACAATAAATTGTCAGTAGGATCTTGGCTGTTAGACCTTTGTTGTTGTTGTTGTTTAGTCGTTAAGTTGTGTCCGACTCTTTTCTTGACCCCATGGACCAGAGCATGCCAGGCCCTCCTGTCTTCCACTGCCCCCCGGAGTTTTATCAAATTCAAGTTGTTCGCTTTGGTGACACTCTCCAACCTTCTTGCCCTCTGTCGTCCCCTTCTCCTCTTGCCTTCACTCTTTCCCAACATCAGGGTCTTTTCCAGGGAGTCTTCTCTTCTCATGAGATGGCCAAAGTATTGGAGCCTCAGTTTCAGGATCTGTCCTTCCAGTGAGCACTCAGGGTTGATTTCCTTCAGAACGGATAGGTTTGTTCTCTTTGCAGTCCAGGGGACTCTCAAGAGTCTCCTCCAGCACCACAATTCAAAGGCATCAGTTCTTCGGCGGTCAGCCTTCTTTATGGTCCAGCTCTCACTTCCGTACATCACTACAGGAAAAACCATATCTTTGACTATTCTGACTTTTGTTGGCAAGGTGATGTCTGTGCTTTTTAAGATGCTATCGAGGTTTGTCATTGCTCTCCTCCCAAGAAGAAACCTTAGGAAAGTTTAAACTAGGCATATGAGAAACATATGGCCCACCAGATGTTGGTGGATTATAGTTCCCCTCTTTCCACATTTTACCCTAAAATATGCTGGCTAAGGCTGGCCACACTGGGCAAGAGAATTTGGGAAGTGATCAGGTGTTGTTGTTTTTAAAGTCACATTTCTGAATTGTCAATATGGGGGGAGAGCTACAACTTCCATCATCTGCTTGGGAATGATGGGTATTGTAGTCCAACCACATCTGGGAGACCGCTAAAGAAGTGTTGTTCAAGCGGCAAGCCTGTTGTTGTTGTTCTATGTGAACAAATGTCAGCAAACATGGATGAGGTATTTCTGCGTGAATTGTGGTGGGTTCACCGGTATCCTATCTGGAAACGACATTGCTTTATGCTCAAGCTGAAACCAAAGGATGAGAATAAATCCCATTTCCTCTGTTTTTACTTTTCCACAAATGCACAAGGCTGTAAAATCAGTGCTGTAAATAAAATGACACCAGACACACAGAAAAGAGAGATTCATGCAAATATGAGGGGG